CTCAGGTCATGATCCTGGAGTCCCAGGATCGAGTCCCGCATCGGGCTCCCTGCTCAGCGGGGAGTCTGCTTCTCCCTCTGACCCTCCCCCCTCTCGTGCTCTCTGTCTCTCATTCTCTCTCTCTCAAATAAATAAATAAAATCTTTAAAAAAAAAAGAAAAAACTTACGGAAGGAGCACCAAAGCCGAGGGTTCGGGCAGCGCGGGGCTGGCTGGGTCAGGGGAAGAAAGACAGTACTCTACACTGAGGCTTCGCGGGGGTGGGAGGTCAGGACAGGCTCCCCTAGAGCTAGAAGTGGGTCTGAACAGGTCCTGAGGGCTGCTCCCCTTCCTCCAAAGCCCAGTCTGGCCACTACTCTGTCTCTGGCCCCAACCTCACCCAAGTTTGACAGGCGGGTGTGAGAGGGTGGAGGGGGCACCCGGCTAGGACATCTCAGCCCCCTGAGGCTCCCACCCACAGCAGCTAAATCAGGTCAGGTTTTTCGTGGCTTAAGTCCCTGGGGGCTCACCTGTGAGGCCCTTCATGACAGAGTTCTTCCCCACCCACACCTTTCCCACCTCATCACCCTGGGGCTCTTCCCCTGGCTCATATGCCTCCAGCCACACTGGCATTTTAGCAGTCCCTCCAATGCACCAGCCCCATCCAGCCTCAGGGCCTTTGCACTGGTTCACCAAGTTGGCATCTTTGTCATACAGATTGCTTTTCAGTGTCACCTGTTTCCAAAAGCCTTCGCTGACCATTCTGTTGAAAGTAAGCCCCATTCTCTACACACACTCTATCCCTCACCCTGTTTTATTACCTTATCTTCAAGGCATTCAACATTGTTTGAGATTATCTTGTTTTGTTCTGTGTTCACTGTCTGGGTCTCCACCCCCAGCAAAGGTAAACAACACTCCAGAAGAGCTTTTTGTACCCAGATGTTCACAGCTCAGGGCCTAGATAGAACGGCACCTGGTCCCTTAGTCAGTGCTCAAAAAATATCTGTGTGGGGGTCCTGGGTGGCTCAGCCGGTTAAGCATCTGACTCTTGATTTTGGCTCAGGTCATGATCTCCTGGGTCATGAGATCAAGCCCCGGGCAGGTCAGGCTCTGTGCTCAGTGGCGCATCTGCTTGAGATTCTTTCCCTCTGCTGCCCCACCCCACCACTTGCGCTTGCTCGAGCTCTCTCTCTCTCAAATAAATAAATAAATCTTGAGGGGGAAAAAAAGTATCTGTGTAATATATTCAAGGTTGGAGAGGACCAAGCAGGACTGAGGGAAGCTGACTCTTCCCCAACAACGCAGGGTTCTGTGGGAGAGGAGATGGCAGGGCCATGAACTGGGAGACGTGCCCCCGCCAAGGGACTGGTGGGATGGCCACTCCCGGCCAATCCTGTAGGGGCTCGGCCCTGTGGGATGCTGGTACCTCTTGTATCCCCTGTGCCCCCGCTTACCCTTCTTCTTAACTCTCCTACCCCTTGCCTCACTGCCCTATTACAACCTTCAGGGTCCCTTCGGCCCTCTATGCCCCCTGAACCCCTCAGAACCTCCTTATGCCCTTCCATTACTTCCTTATCCCCTCAGGGATGCTCCCAGCTGGGCTGCCCTCTTTGGCCCCTGCCACTTGGTTACCTGGGCTGCAAAGGTGCCAAGCTGGAAGCAGGCTGTGGAGGTGGCAGCTCAGATCTCTAGCCCCTGAAGCCAGGTGGAGAATTTGTCGTGGCCTCGTGAGGGCGAGGATATGGTGCAAAGCACAAGTGAGCAGGACTGAGCTGGACTGGGCGGAGACAGCTGCCCAAAAGGGATTGGGGTTTAAGGGATGGCCGGGGACTCTGCTGCCAACTCTCCAGGGTGGTCAGGTGGCTGGAGGGGGAGGGGAGAGCTGACTTCGGCACCATGTAGGCTCAATTTCACACCCACTTCTGCTGTTTGTTGTGTGTGGGTATCCTCGGACAGTAAGTTGCTCTCTGAGCCTCTGTTTCCTTATCTGTAAAATGGGGACAATGATAGCTTGGCCCCAGGGTTTTGGTGGTAATGAAGTGAGATAATATGTGGTTTCCTGGGGGCCCTGAAGCTAACCAGATGAATTAAAGGTGGGAAGACAGCTTCAGACAGTCCTCTTATTTCCACATACATGGATGGACTAAAACGACATCAAGAAAAGAAAGGAGGCTATGTGTTTGGCTGCACAAAGAGAGAAGTAGTAGCATCTACTGCCTGCCTGGGTCTCCTAATCTTCTGTCCCTGGTGCTAGGGCAGAACTCACTCTGCACTTGGTGTTCTCCCTGTGATGTAGGTGGGCATCGATGGGGACTCCCTCCCATGGCACCTCCATGCACTGGCTACACGCCCATCCTCTGCTCACCACCTCCCCCAGCTATCTCTCTTTTGTACATCAAGGTCTTTGCGAGCCCTGCTCCTCAAAGTGTGGCCAAGGACCAAGAGCACCAGCTCGTTAGAGGCTGGGCGCTTGTTAGAAATGCAGAAGCCCACCCCAGACCTACTGAATCAAAATCTGCATTTTAACAAGATCTCTGGAGGATTCAACCCCCAGAGATTCACGTGCACATTAAAGGCTGAGCAGTACTAGGTGAGAGATTTAGAGCACCTCCATCTAAAATGCATGAGATTCACAACTTTCAAGTTTGATGGTGTTTGATGCTGTCACTGGAAATTTTATCTCAAGCTACAAGAGCACATCCACATAATATTTGGATATTGGCATTTCATTCATCCTGGGCGGGTATATTCCTGATCTCTGTAATATGACCCTATATTAATTTTCTTTTTTTTTTTTAAAGATTGTATTTATTTATTTGACAGAGAGAGACACAGCGAGAGAGGGAACACAAGCAGGGGGAGTGGGAGAGGGAGAAGCAGGCTTCTTGCCAAGCAGGGAGCCCGATGCGGGGCTCGATCCCAGGACCCTGGGATCACGACCTGAGCCGAAGGCAGACGCCTAATGACTGAGCCACCCAGGCGCCCCTTAATTTCCTTTTCTTTAACTAAATCACTTAGCCGAAATACTACAGAATACAGTTTTAAAGGTAAATCACTTTTAAGCTCTCAATAGAAGACTCTTTTCTATGCTTCTCCATTCCCAGATCAACCACTTTTAATTCTGTTATTTCTCCTTATATTTACCTCTATACTTCTATTGCTATTTCCTAATTTTTCTATGTCTAAATGTTATCTGTAGGTTTCCTGCTATGGAATTAAGGATTCTGCTTTCTTACCACCCTCCCCAACATATATCTTCAAGTACACAAACAAACTCCTTCCATCCTCCCAAAGAGCTAAGTCACTGGAGTCAATATTCAGTGCTTATATATGACCATGTAAATATTATTGTCCAACTTTTTGTGTTTCCTGGAGTTAGCACTACTTTGTTTTATCATTTGCTTGGTTTTCTAGGCATCAATTACTAATTTAATCCCAAAGCGACCAACAGAACTGAACATTTTGAACATATCTAAAAACCACAGATAATTTCATTTTCTTCTGGAGACATCCCTCCTAGGAGCATCTTGCTTTTGATTCCAGCCTGGGTTGTTTGCTTTCTTTACTCGGAAGCACGGCTGACATCCCAACCCTTTCTCATCATTGCTTTCCTGTGTTTAGCCTCATCTCTTGACTCCCATATTGTCCTCTTAGTTTAATGCCTTGTTTTGCTGAAGCACATCCTCCAGTAGCTTTCTAGGAAAGAGTGTATACGAGGTCAAATTTTTGAGAACTTTCACGGCTTAAAATGTCTTTATTCTATTCTTGTACTTGATAATCATTTGGACAGATCTATGTTTTTAGGTTGGAAATCATTTTCCCTCAGAATTCTGCAGGCATCGTTTTATTACTCTGGGAAGAGCCAGAGCAGAAACAATCGATGAATGGTCCCAAGGGCCCCAGGGCCATTGGCTCTATGCCAATGATGTCAAGTCCACCAGGCTTGAGTCTTTGGACAAGGCCCGCTGGAGGCGGATATGCCGCCTGATTCTTGCTTTCTCCTCTCCTGGGGACTGTATGGCCACTGGCCCCTTCCCCCAGCCCCATCATTTTTTCCCCTCAAAGTATGATATGTGGAAAGGATTCTGTTCTTAATTATGATCCACTTCTACTCTTGCCTCTTGTCACTAATCTGAGATGTGCTGGAACCTCTGTAGCCACCACCCATTTACAGATTATCATGGGGATAGGTTTCCTTTTCAGACGATCAATCCCTTCCTTATATGTTCATCTGCCTTACTTTCATTCTCAGAGGGTAACTTTAACCTCCAGTTTGGGGGTTACTATGTTGAAGCCCTCTTACATTACCTATGTCATTTCTGGAATCCCAGTATCTGAAACACTTCCCACAGACCACAGGGCTTAGAAACAGCCCCCTCCTGCCCCACCCTGTAGCAGTCCTGTGGGAGCCCAGCCCCAGAAAGTCTCAGGGTGCTTCCTGGCAGAGCCTGCCTCTGCATTTCAGGGCTGTAGTCCTGAAAATTCCCCCACAAGGGCCCACAGGCATCCCCCAGCTCTCAGGGGAGAGAGAGCTGCTGACAGGAAGATTGAATGATTGCCCCTGGACACAGAGCTCTGGGAACCCTCAGGAGAAAGAAAGCAGTCCTTCCTCTGTTGCTCAGCTGCCCACGTGATGATGGGGTTGGAATGCCTTCCTGGTAACTCAGATCCTCTCGGGGGCCCTGGGGCAGAGAATTCACGAAGACCAGAGGATGAGTCTTAGTTCTCAGAAATCACTCACTCCCTTCTGACTTAGCCCCACCTAACCCACCAGCTGCTTAGGAGGCCAAAACCAGCAACAGCCCCCTCTGTACCCCAGGGCCCCACGTGGCAATAGGTCACAATGCCCCAGCTGCCCAGTCCCAGAATGGCTGACTGGAGTGGGAGGTGAGGAGGGTGTGGCGGGTGGGTGTGTGGGGAGGGGGGATTCCCACGGAGCTAACTCTTGAGTGTCTGCCAGGGCCTCGCCCCCTCCCAGGCCCCCCTCAACACTAGTCCTTCCTGTCACCTCCACCTCTCTCCATGGCCCAGCTCTGCTCACCCATGTGCAAAGCCCTTCCTTATCCTATCCCAGTCCCTCCCAGAGGCCTGGGTGCTGGGGAGGGGTCGCATAGTCCAGTGGGTCCATGCATGTCCGCCTGGGACCCTAGCGCGGCCCAGCTCCGAGACAGCGTCCTAGGGCTGGGGGCATGGGGGCTGACAGCTGGCTGGCCCAGCCAGCCTCGCTGCTGCTGGTCAGCTTCCTGGCCCCTGACCTGCTCCACTGGTTAAGTGGGCAGAGCCCAGCAGGCGGGCAATCGGCCAACCTCCCGAGGCCCCACCGCCGCCCTCTCTGTCCACAGGCCCACAGGCCCCCCGCAGACACTCCTCCCGGGAGGCTGGAGTCAGGGGCCACACTCCTGCCTGCGGTGGCAGTCACGGGACGACTCGGCCCCCAGGAGGCCCTGCTACTGGCACTCCTGGGCCTGGGGCTGCTCCTGGGAGCCCGCAGCGTGCCCCCGGCCCTGCCTGGCCTGGCCTTCCGCCCCCATCCAGAAATACACTGGCCCTGCTGCTTCCCCAGATCGCCTTTTCCTCCGTCCTGGGTTGAGCAGGCAGGAGGGAACCCCTTTATCTCCAGCCTGAACTGCAGGGGCCCTTTGGCCCCCCAGCATGGGCGGCGGATACCTGGGTCTGCATCTGAGACAGCAAGAGAAGGCGGGGTCAAGGGACAGGGAGCCAGGGCAGGATGTGGCGGCCACCTCTGAGCTTGTGGGTTGGGGGTGGCCATTCTGGCCTCCTCTGTGGTTCAAGAGAATGGGTGGCCAGAAACACTTACAGGAGAGCAGAGTGGGGCTGGATATCAGTTAGCAGGGTAGGAACAGGGATCCAGAGAGGGCTTCCCACAAGAAAGCATGAGAATCTGTGTCTGGGGTCTCACCAGACACCCCTGCCAGCCTGGAGGGTCCGTGGAGAGGGATTCAGGTGAGCCTCACATCCTGCAGTGGCTCCTCTCTTGGCGGGACCCCACCCCCACCCGCGTCACAATGGGGATCCTTGGGGGCGGGCAGGGGGTGAGG